CATTTTTACACCAAAAATGCATTTTTACACCAAAAATGCATTTTTACACCAAAAATGCATTTTTACACTGAAAACGCCCTCTTTTACACCAAAATGCGTTTTTACACCAAAAATGCATTTTACACCAAAAATGCATTTTTACACCAAAAATGCATTTTTACACCAAAAACACATTTTTACACAAAAAACGCATTTTTACACAAAAAATGCATTTTTACACAAAAAATGCATTTTACACCGAAAACGCCCTTTTACACCAAAAATGCGTTTTTTACACCAAAAATGCGTTTTTACACCAAAAATGCATTTTTACACCAAAAATGCATTTTTACACCAAAAATGCATTTTTACACTAAAAATGCATTTTTACCCTAAAAATGCATTTTTACACCAAAAATGCTTTTATACACAAAAATGCATTTTAACACTAAAAATGCATTTTTACACAAAACATGTATTTTTACACTAAAAATGCATTTTTAACCAAAAAATGCATTTTTACACTAAAGATGCATTTTTACATTAAAAATAAATATTATTTTTTCTATATTTACCTTTCCTTTAAACTTTTTTAATAAAACTTCTTAAATTGTTTTAATATTTTCATCAATAAAATTTGTTTTTCTTTTATTTTTTTTTTTTCATTTCAGTTTTTTTTTTCTTCAATAATTCGTTTAATTGCAGTTTCTTCAGTTGCTTAATAAGGTAATTTTACACAATTCATTACTTTTGTTTAATAATAATTTTGCTTAAATTAACTAAATTTATAATTTGTTCTAACATATTTTTTTTTTAATTTTTTTGGTTGTTTAATTATTTAGTTTAGGTTTTAGTTATTAATATAATACAACGATTAGCTTGGCTAATATATTATTTTTAAGACGTTTGTTTTTGTTTTAATGGAAACTGAAAGCCAAAAGAAATTTAGCAGGAAATGTACAAAACTATTTGAAATTTTAGAAAGTTTGAAAGAAAAATAGTTTACAGAATAGTAACAGGAACAGTTTTGAAATTTTTAAGTAAAATTTTTAATAGTTTATACTAAGTATAAAGTTTTTCAACAGATTATAGCAGTTTGAGTAGAATTTTATGACATTCTTTAAAAATTAACAGATTTTTTTTAACATTTTATTTAAGAACTGCTTGTTATTAACTTTCTTTGGAATATCTAAAATTTTTCAACAAGTTTTACTAATTAATTAAATTTAATTTTATTTATCTTTAAACACCATTTATATGCTATGACACTGGTTTGTTTAGAACTATGAGTTTTGTTTTTCGCTTTTTTTGTTAATTAATTAGTCATTCCTGATTTTACTAACATTTTAACTATTTACAAGTGTTAAACATTAAATTATTTATTTATTATTAACTTTAAACATATATTCGTTAATTTAACTAATAATATCTGTTTAATACAACTATTTTTATATTTTCTCCATTTCATTTAACAATTTTTGCTTTTAAAACTAAATTTTTGTTTATTCTTAATTTATTTTAAACATATTATTTAGTTTCTTTTCCATTAATATTATTTAATTAATTTCAGTAAAAAGTCTTTTATTTCATAGGAATTTTTTTGTGAGTGTTTTTTTTTTTTATTAATTTTTTGGTGAAAAATTTTAATGCCCTCAAGTGTGAGCTTTTTCCGATTTTGCCGTTTTTTTTATTTAAAAAGGTTTGAGTGTAATGAATTTACAATTTTGTAGTTTTTGTTGTTGTTTTTATACTGCATAATTAACAATTTAATTCAATGTGCGTTGTTCTTTTTTCCTTAATTTTTTTCTTATTTACAGTGTAGTCCTTGATGTTTTTGTTAATGACGCTGATGAGGATAATTTTTTCTGTTGGTTATTTGATGGCATGAATAAAAAGTCGTTTAATTTTTATAATTTTTTTTTGTTGTTTTTTTATCGAATGTTTTAGTGCTGCCAATAGGCTTGTAGAAAATATAGTCATGTAGGGTATTTTGTTGCTGTGTTCGTAAATCGTTATTTGTTTAATTTATTATTTATATTGTTGTTATTAAATTAATTTATTATTTAGTAAATGCTTTTTATTTTAGAACATTGAAATATTATTGATTATAAAAATGTGTTTTTGTTTCTTTGTGAGTAAAAGAGATGCAAGGGAAAACTTAAAGAGAATGGAAATAGAATGGAATCAGAATAGCACTAGAAATGGAATAGCACAGAAGTACAACAGGAGTAGAACAGAACTAAACAGAACTAGAACAGAACTAGCACAGAACAGAACTAGAACAGAACTAAACAGAACTAGAACAGAACTAGAACAGAACTAGAACAGAACTAGAACAGAACTAGAACAGAACTAGAACAGAACTAGAACAGAACTAGAACAGAACTAGAACAGAACTAGAACAGAACTAGACTAGAACAGAACTCGAACAGACTAGAACAAAACTAGAACAGAACTAGAACAGAACTAGAACTGAACTAGAACAGAACTAGAACAGAACTAGAACAGAACTAGAACAGAACTAGAACAGAACTAGAACAGAACTAGAACAGAACTAGAACAGAACTAGAACAGAACTAGAACTGAACTAGAACAGAACTAGAACAGAACTAGAATAGAACTACAACAGAACTAGAACAGAACTAGAACAGAACTAGAACAGAACTAGAACAGAACTAGAACAGAACTAGAACAGAACTAGAACAGAACTAGAACAGAACTAGAACAGAACTAGAACAGAACTAGAACAGAACTAGAACTAGAACAGACAGAACAGAACTAGAACAGAACTAGAACAGAACTAGAACAGAACTAGAACAGAACTAGAACAGAACTAGAACAGAACTAGAACAGAACTAGAACAGAACTAGAACGAACTAGAACAGAACTAGAACAGAACTAGAACAAACTAGAACAGAACTAGAACAGAACTAGAACAGAACTAGAAACGAACTAGAACAGAACTAGAACAGAACTAGAACAGAACTAGACAGAACTAGAACAGAACTAGAACAGAACTAGAACAGAACTAGAACAGAACGAAACAGAACTAGAACAGAACAGAACAGAACTAGAACAGAACTAGAACAGAACTAGAACAGAACTAGAACAGAACTAGAACAGAACTAGAACAGAACTAGAACAGAACTAGAACAGAACTAGAACAGAACTAGAACAGAACTAGAACAGAACTAGAACAGACTAGAATAAACTACAACAGAACTAGAACAGAACAAGAAAAAACACAGAACAAGAACAGAACAGAACAGAACAAGAACAGAACAAGAACAACTAACTGAACTAGAACAGAACTAGAACAGAACTAGAACAGAACTAGAACAGAACTACAGAACTAGAACAGAACTAGAACAGAACTAGAACAAACTAGAACAGAACTAGAACAGAACTAGAACAGAACTAGAACAAACTAGAACAGAACTAGAACAGAACTAAAACTAGAACTAGAACAGAACTAGAACAGAACTAGAACTGAACTAGAACAGAGAACAGAACAAACAGAACAGAACAGAACAGAACGAAGAAACTAGAGCAGAACTAGAACAGAACTAGAACTGAACTAGAACTGAACTAGAACTGAACTAGAACTGAACTAGAACTGAACTAGAACTGAACTAGAACTGAACTAGAACTGAACTAGAACTGAACTAGAACTGAACTAGAACTGAACTAGAACTGAACTAGAACTGAACTAGAACTGAACTAAAATGACTAGAACTGAACTAGAACGAACTAGAACTGAACTAGAACTGAACTAGAACTGAACTAGAACTGAACTAGAACTGAACTAGAACTGAACTAGAACTGAACTAGAACTGAACTAGAACTGAACTAGAACTGAACTAGAACTGAACTAGAAACTGAACTAGAACTGAACTAGAACTGAACTAGAACTGAACTAGAACTGAACTAGAACTGAACTAGAACTGAACTAGAACTGAACTAGAACTGAACTAGAACTGAACTAGAACTGAACTAGAACTGAACTAGAACTGAACTAGAACTGAACTAGAACTGAACTAGAACTGAACTAGAACTGAACTAGAACTGAACTAGAACTGAACTAGAACTGAACTAGAACTGAACTAGAACTGAACTAGAACTGAACTAGAACTGAACTAGAACTGAACTAGAACTGAACTAGAACTGAACTAGAACTGAACTAGAACTGAACTAGAACTGAACTAGAACTGAACTAGAACTGAACTAGAACTGAACTAGAACTGAACTAGAACTGAACTAGAACTGAACTAGAACTGAACTAGAACTGAACTAGAACTGAACTAGAACTGAACTAGAACTGAACTAGAACTGAACTAGAACTGAACTAGAACTGAACTAGAACTGAACTAGAACTGAACTAGAACTGAACTAGAACTGAACTAGAACTGAACTAGAACTGAACTAGAACTGAACTAGAACTGAACTAGAACTGAACTAGAACTGAACTAGAACTGAACTAGAACTGAACTAGAACTGAACTAGAACTGAACTAGAACTGAACTGAACTGAACTAGAACTGAACTAGAACTGAACTAGAACTGAACTAGAACTGAACTAGAACTGAACTAGAACTGAACTAGAACTGAACTAGAACTGAACTAGAACTGAACTAGAACTGAACTAGAACTGAACTAGAACTGAACTAGAACTGAACTAGAACTGAACTAGAACTGAACTAGAACTGAACTAGAACTGAACTAGAACTGAACTAGAACTAGAACTGAACTAGATTTCAATATTAATCTCTCCATGTTTTCCCTAATGATTTTATTTAAATTTATAATTCTTTGCGTTTATGACAATTAATATGTAATTAATTTTACTTTATATTCGTTTAGTTCTATTTACTTTGCAAAAATTCACTAAAACATTTAATATAATTTTTTATTTTTATAATCGTAAATATTATAAACTAAATATTTACATACACAACATTAACTCATTTAGTTCTTAATTTTTTGCGTTTCTCTAATTGTTTTTTTGTAACTAAATTCTTAATTTTTAAGGACATGCAGAGTCGTTTGGTTTTATTTACATAAATTTTTTATGATAAAATTTTTAAAAAATTCCTCAAATTTTAAAACTAATCATTAAGTTGCTTTTTTTTACTAAATATTCAACGTCATTTATATTTACGGGTTTCTTGCCTAAAGTGATCTACAGTTTTAATATTTACAATTATTTTATTTTTATAGTTTTATACTTGTCAGTGTATTTTTTTTTTATAAGAAACTTAATAGGAAATTTGTTTAAAAAACTTAATGAAAATTAATTTGTAATTAATATGGTTTTTTAATATTTTTTCAAGTATAATGAAAAAATATATAGGTACAAAATGTTTGTACAAAAGTTATCGTTTTACTTTATTTTAATTATAGTATTTTGTATTTGAAATCATTAGATTTGTTTTTGTTTTCGCGAAATTGTTTAATGAATTATCTACACTTAAGTTATAATCAATATAGCTACATTTTTATATAATTAAGTTTCTTTTATAGTTTTATAGATATTATTTTTTTTTCGTTTTTTTTTTTTCATTAATTTCTAAATTAATTTTTTTCATTTAAATTTATTTGTCTAAAAACTAAAATTTTAATTAAAAATTTACCTATCACGTAAAGGAAATTGACACGTTTTTTCATGTATGATGATCGTGTGTATCTGAAATAGAAGAACAAGAATATTAAATTATTGAAATGAAAAAAAATTTTAAAATAACACAAACATATGTGTGATAATAACAAACACATAAATAGGAAAGATCCAATAGGGAAATCTTTCAGACATAAAAATAGTGGAATATGCAATAGACTATGGACTAGACATAGGCCAGACAACAGACTATATATTAGCCTATATGCTTGACAATAATCTTATCTTCACATGTAGACTGTACACTAGATCAACCTCTCAACTAGATTAGACTAGACTATAGTACACACTAGACTAAAGTATATACTATAGTGAAGTTCTACTTTAGTTCTAGATCAATTCTAGTTCAGTTCTAGTTCAGTTAGTTCAGTTCTAGTTCAGTTCTAGTTCAGTTCTAGTTCAGTTCTAGTTCAGTTCTAGTCTCTTCTGTTCTAGTTCTGTTCTAGTTCTGTTCTAGTTCTGTTCTAGTTCTGTTCTAGTTCTGTTCTAGTGTTCTAGTTCTGTTCTAGTTCTGTTCTAGTTCTGTTCTAGTTCTGTTCTAGTTCTGTTCTAGTTCTGTTCTAGTTCTGTTCTAGTTCTGTTCTAGTTCTGTTCTAGTTCTGTTCTAGTTCGTTTATTCTGTTCTAGTTCTGTTCTAGTTCTGTTCTAGTTCTGTTCTAGTTCTGTTCTAGTTCTAGTTCTGTTCTAGTTCTGTTCTAGTTCTGTTCTAGTTCTGTTCTAGTTCTGTTCTAGTTCTGTTCTAGTTCTGTTCTAGTTCTGTTCTAGTTCTGTTCTAGTTCTGTTCTAGTTCTGTTCTAGTTCTGTTCTAGTTCTGTTCTAGTTCTGTTCTAGTTCTGTTCTAGTTCTGTTCTAGTTCTGTTCTAGTTCTGTTCTTTCTAGTTCTGTTCTAGTTCTGTTCTAGTTCTGTTCTAGTTCTGTTCTAGTTCTGTTCTAGTTCTGTTCTAGTTCTGTTCTAGTTCTGTTCTAGTTCTGTTCTAGTTCTGTTCTTTCTGTTCGTTTGTTCTAGTTCTGTTCTAGTTCTGTTCTAGTTCTGTTCTAGTTCTGTTCTAGTTCTGTTCTAGTTCTGTTCTAGTTCTGTTCTAGTTCTGTTCTAGTTCTGTTCTAGTTCTGTTCTAGTTTGTTCTAGTTCTGTTCTAGTTCTGTTCTAGTTCTGTTCTAGTTCTGTTCTAGTTCTGTTCTAGTTCTGTTCTAGTTCTGTTCTAGTTCTGTTCTAGTTCTGTTCTAGTTCTGTTCTAGTTCTGTTCTAGTTCTGTTTAGTTCTGTTCTAGTTCGGTTCTAGTTCGCTGTTCTTAGTTCTGTTCTAGTTCTGTTTCTAGTTCTGTTCGAGTTCTGTCTAGGTTCTTTCTAGTTCTGTTCTAGTTCTGTTCTAGTTCTGTTCTAGTTTCTGTTTCTAGTTTCTGTGCTAGGTCTGTTCTAGTCGGTCGGTTCTAGTTCTGTTCTAGTTCTGTTCTAGTTCTGTTCTAGTGCTGTTCTAGTTCTGTTCTAGTTCTGTTTTCTAGTTCTGTTCTAGTTTCTAGTTCTGGTCTAGTTCTGTTCTAGTTCTGTTCTAGTTCTGTTCTAGTTCTGTTTCTAGTTCTGTTCTAGTTCTGTTCTAGTTCTGTTTCTAGTTCTGTTCTAGTTCTGTTAGTTCTGTTCTAGTTCTGTTTCTAGTTCTGTTCTAGTTCTAGTTCTGTTCTAGTTCTGTTCTAGTTCTGTTCTAGTTCTGTTCTAGTTCTGTTCTAGTTCGGTTCTAGTTCTGTTCTAGTTCTGTGCTATTCTGTTCTAAGTTCTGTTTGTCTAGTTCTGTTCTAGTTCTGTTCTAGTTGTGTTCTAGTTCGTTCTAGTTCTGTTCTAGTTCTGTTCTAGTTCTGTTCTAGTTCTGTTCTAGTTCTGTTCTAGTTCTGTTCTAGTTCTGTTCTAGTTCTGTTCTAGTTCTGTTTAGTTCTAGTTCTGTTTAGTTCTGTTCTAGTTCTGTTCTCGTTCTGTTCTAGTTCTGTTCTAGTCTGTTCTAGTTCTGTTCTAGTTCTGTTCTAGTTCTGTTCTAGTTCTGTTCTAGTTCTGTTCTAGTTCTGTTCTAGTTCTGTTCTAGTTCTGTTCTAGTTCTGTTCTAGTTCTGTTCTAGTTCTGTTCTAGTTCTGTTCTAGTTCTAGTTCTGTTCTAGTTCTGTTCTAGTTCTGTTCTAGTTCTTCTGTTCTAGTTCTGTTCTAGTTGTTCTAGTTCTGTTCTAGTTCTGTTCTAGTTCTGTTGTAGTTCTTTCTAGTTCTGTTCTAGTTCTGTTCTAGTTCTGTTCTAGTTCTGTTCTAGTTGTGTTCTAGTTGTGTTCTAGTTCTGTTCTAGTTCTGTTCTAGTTCTGTTCTAGTTCTGTTCTAGTTCTGTTCTAGTTCTGTTCTAGTTCTGTTCTAGTTCTGTTCTAGTTCTGTTCTAGTTCTGTTCTAGTTCTGTTCTAGTTCTGTTCTAGTTCTGTTCTAGTTCTGTTCTAGTTCTGTTCTAGTTCTGTTCTAGTTCTGTTCTAGTTCTCTTCTAGTTCTGTTCTAGTTCTGTTCCTGTTCAGTTCTAGTTCAGTTCTAGTTCAGTTCTAGTTCAGTTCTAGTTCAGTTCTAGTTCTAGTTCTAGTTCAGTTCTAGTTCAGTTCTAGTTCAGTTCTAGTTCAGTTCTAGTTCAGTTCTAGTTCAGTTCTAGTTCAGTTCTAGTTCAGCTCTAGTTCAGTTCTAGTTCAGTTCTAGTTCAGTTCTAGTTCAGTTCTAGATCAGTTCTAGTTCAGTTCTAGTTCAGTTCTAGTTCAGTTCTAGTTCAGTTCTAGTTCAGTTCTAGTTCAGTTCTAGTTCTAGCAGTTCTAGTTCAGTTCTAGTTCAGTTCTAGTTCAGTCTAGTTCAGTTTTCAGTTCTAGTTCAGTTCTAGTTTTGTTTAATTTCTTAAATAATTTTTATTTACGTAAAATTTCCTATTAACAGTTTTTTTACAGATTTTTTTTCAATATTTAACTGTTAAGAATTTGGTATTAAAGTGTGTGATATTAAGTGCGTTTTTATTTAAATAAAATACAGTGTTTTTTTTTGTGGTAAAATATGTAAACTTCGAGTGTATGCTTTAGTTATGGTAAAATACTTAAAAAAAATAGATAAAAACAATTACAGAATTGTGCTGCAGATTGAGCTATTAACTGCTATGGTTTTTATGTGGATATTTAACTGCAATCAGTAATAAATTTTTTACAGGTCATTAATTACTTAAAACAAAACCTATTAATTTGATAGAGATTTATTTTGGGAAATAAAAGTAATTGAGAGGTTTTATATATTTTTTTTTAGGAAATCTTTGTTGGAATTTTAAATTAACATTTTTTGTTATTTTCAAAATTATGAGATTTTTTTAAAAGGATTTTAGTTTATGAAATTTTGTAGAATGTGGGCTTTCAAGTAGAATTTGCTTAGGTTTTTTGAAGATTTGTTAGGTTTTCTTTTATTGTGTTAAATTTGATGAAGTTCTTTTGAAAATTGTAGCAGTTAGAGTGAGAATTGTGAAAAAAGTCATAATTAATATTACTCATACGCCAGGGTAGACAAAAAGTTAAAGTTATGATTTAAATGGTTGTATGGGGAAATTTTATTAGATTTTTATGGGAAATTTTAGGGAATATTTTTGCAATTATGAAGACATATATTTAAGACATTTCCCCCCTGCTTAATAATAGTTCAATTTTGCAGTTTTCAGTGCTGAGTATTAATTTGTGCTGATTTATAACATTTAATCACACAAAAAGCTTTTGTATATATAATTTTACCGAGTCCCACAAATATAGCCAAAATTTCTAAAAGAAAATAAACAAATTAAAAATTAATTATTTTAACAAAAATTTTAAGTAAAGAAAAATATAAGTTATTACTTGATAAAATTATAAAATTATTTTAGTAATTTACTTTACATTAAAATATTTTTGGGCTAAAACTGTTCATTATATGGTTTCTTTGGTTTTCACTGGCCTCATACTAGCAACCACAACATACAACATGGATTTAGTCCAAAAGCCAAAAAAATAATTTATATACAATTTGAAAAATAATTAAAGCAGAAATATCAAGCCCTTGCCAATTAGTAACAAACTAAAGTGCTGAGAAAATAAATTCTGTAAAATCGTACCCGACTAAATTTTGTAGCAAAATCATAAGAGGAGCAGAGCAGGTTTTTAAGTAGCGAAAAAGGCCAATTCTTGTTAGTGGGAAAATGTTTGGCTGGATTAACTGGTTTAGTAAAAAAGAAGTATATTTGTTTAGTGTAAACATTCTAACATTTACACGTCGTAAACAAAGCCAACAACCAGTAGAAGGCCAAAGCCTTTTTTTTTGCCGCCCATAGTCCTGTGCGTTTTTCATAGATAGTTGTTATCGGAGAATTCAAATGCTGATGATTGACTGGCAGCTCGTGAACGTATTGATGATGTTGCTGTAGTTGTTGTGGTTAATTGTGAAAAGCCGCCACCCATATAAGTGGCGCTATCAAAATCCGATACTGAGGTCGTTGTTATGCCTTCTGGTTGTATCAGTGGTTGCAATGCTGAATCACGTTTGCTATTTTTGCGACTTGTTGTACGATAGACTACTGGTGTTGTAGCTGCTGCTGCTGCTGCTGCTATTGTTGTTATTTTTGAATTACAAGAAGATTGTCGTTGTAACGATTTTCTCATTAATAAGGGTGTTGTGGGGGTGGAAGTGGTAAATGTTGTTGTTGTTGCTGCTGTTGCAGCCAGTATTTGTTGAAAATTTGTTTTAATGATATTGATGTTGTTAATGTTGTTGCTGTTGTTGTTGGTGGTGGCGGTATTGATGAGGATGTTGATAATGAGTTGTTGTATAATGTAAATGTTGCTACTTGTTTCTGAGGTTTAACTAAAAAAATGCAAATGATGTTGATGTCGTTGACGTTGAAGTTTTGTGTGTTATAAATGTTAATGAAGTGGTACAGTGGTAGAGGTTTTTCCTTTTCATTTGTTTTTTAACCCTTTACTTTTCTTCACTAAGTTGAAAAATCCCCCCAAAAAAACAAATTTCTTACTTACCTTGTGTTATTGCTAGTGTTGCGGCGGGTGTTAGATGTGAGGACGTTGCAGTGGTATGTACCGATAATGAGGTACTAGTGGCTGCTGTGGCGGCGGGTATTTGCTGTTGCACATGTGAATTACTACTTCCTGCGGCTGTCATACCACAGCCATTGGCTTCTGAGGTTTTCATTTGTGATTCTCGTTCAACTAAACGTTGTCGTAGTAAGCGGATTTTTTCTTCTTTCTAATTTTTTTTTTAGAGGCAATAAAAAGGAAACAAAATTTTTCTTTAAATTACTTTCAGTTATAAAGTTTTCTTGACCTTAAAACTAAAGTCCAGAGGGTTTTGTTTTTTAAATTATATAAAATTTTATTAAAAACCATCAACCTGTTTGAAGGTTAAAGAGTAAAACTTCAATATAACTCCTAATTAATATAAATCATACGCACGGGTGTTCCAATACTGAAAAATCTCTTTAAAATAACTAGTTTTACTGCTGTTCTAGTTCTGTTCTTCTTCTGTTCTGTTCTAGTTCTGTTCTAGTTCTGTTCTGTTCTGTTCTAGTTCTGTTCTAGTTCTGTTCTAGTTCTGTTCTAGTTCTGTTCTAGTTCTGTTCTAGTTCTGTTCTAGTTCTGTTCTAGTTCTGTTCTAGTTCTGTTCTAGTTCTGTTCTAGTTCTGTTCTAGTTCTGTTCTAGTTCTGTTCTAGTTCTGTTCTAGTTCTGTTCTAGTTCTGTTCTAGTTCTGTTCTAGTACTGTTCTAGTACTGTTCTAGTTATGTTCTAGTTATGTTCTAGTTATAGTCTGTTCTAGTTCTGTTCTAGTCTGTTCTAGTTCTGTTCTAGTTAGTTCTAGTTCTAGTTCTGTTCTAGTTCTGTTCTAGTTCTGTTCTAGTTCTGTTCTAGTTCTGTTCTAGTTCTGTTCTAGTTCGTTCTAGTTCTGTTCTAGTTCTGTTCTAGTTCTGTTCTAGTTCTGTTCTAGTTCTGTTCTGTTCTGTTCTGTTCTAGTTCTGTTCTCTAGTTCTGTTCTAGTTCTGTTCTAGTTCTGTTCTAGTTCTGTTTTTTCTAGTTCTGTTCTAGTTCTGTTCTAGTTTGTTCTAGTTCAGTTCTAGTTCTGTTCTAGTTCAGTTCTAGTTCTGTTCTAGTTCTGTTCTAGTTCTGTTCTAGTTCTGTTCTAGTTCTGTTCTAGTTCTGTTCTAGTTCTGTTCTAGTTCTGTTCTACTTCTGTTCTAGTTCTGTTCTAGTTCTGTTCTAGTTCTGTTCTAGTTCTGTTCTAGTTCTGTTCTAGTTCTGTTCTAGTTCTGTTCTAGTTCTTCTAGTTCTGTTTTTCTTTCTAGTTCTGTTCTAGTTCTGTTCTAGTTCTGTTCTAGTTCTGTTCTAGTTCTGTTCTAGTTCTGTTCTAGTTCTGTTCTAGTTCTGTTCTAGTTCTGTTCTAGTTCTGTTCTAGTTCTGTTCTAGTTCTGTTTCTAGTTCTGTTCTAGTTCTGTTCTAGTTCTGTTCTAGTTCTGTTCTAGTTCTGTTCTAGTTCTGTTCTAGTTCTGTTCTAGTTCTGTTCTAGTTCTGTTCTAGTTCTGTTCTAGTTCTGTTCTAGTTCTGTTCTAGTTCTGTTCTAGTTCTGTTCTAGTTCTGTTCTAGTTCTGTTCTAGTTCTGTTCTAGTTCTGTTCTAGTTCGTTCTAGTTCTGTTCTAGTTCTGTTCTAGTTCTGTTCTAGTTCTGTTCTAGTTCTGTTCTAGTTCTGTTCTAGTTCTGTTCTAGTTCTGTTCTAGTTCTGTTCTAGTTCTGTTCTAGTTCTGTTCTAGTTCTGTTCTAGTTCTGTTCTAGTTCTGTTCTAGTTGTTCTAGTTCTGTTCTAGTTCTGTTCTAGTTCTGTTCTAGTTCTGTTCTAGTTCTGTTCTAGTTTGTTCTAGTTCTGTTCTAGTTCTGTTCTAGTTCTGTTCTAGTTCTGTTCTAGTTCTGTTCTAGTTCTGTTCTAGTTCTGTTCTAGTTCTGTTCTAGTTCTGTTCTAGTTCTGTTCTAGTTCTGTTCTAGTTCTTGTTCTAGTTCTGTTCTAGTTCTGTTCTAGTTCTGTTCTAGTTCTGTTCTAGTTCTGTTCTAGTTCTGTTCTAGTTCTGTTATAGTTCTATTCTAGTTCTGTTCTAGTTCTGTTCTAGTTCTGTTCTAGTTCTGTTCTAGTTCTGTTCTAGTTCTGTTCTAGTTCTGTTTCTGCTTACCTGCGCTATCAGACGCTGCAGTTCCTCATTTTCCGTTACCAGCTTTTGATAACGTTCCTCATCTTCTTTCGATATACCCGAATCGGGATTATATTTCGATTCAGCTTTATCCTTAGGATGACGTATAACTTCAATAACCTTTAAAAACAAAACAAGGAAGAAAATAAAGTACATTTGCTTAAAACTTTGTTCCTTTTATTTGTAAAACACCATTTTAAAAATAATTATATTTACCTTTGGCACAAATATTAGCAACATACTTAAGAAACAACAAAATATCACAGCCAATGCCACAAATGCAAATGAAGCATCCTGTTGCGATGCGATGACCATACCCACTGGTGCCGTAATTAAACACAAGACCACCACATTATAAATGCTCATGCCTACATAACGCGAATCGTTTATTTGTTTAACTTTTATCGAGCGCGTTTCATAAGCCAGAAAAAGGCCAAAGACCAATATTAAACCTTTATAACCATAAACAAGGCCTGTAAAATAAATATAGAAGCAAACAGAATGAAATTAATTATTATTTACGTTTGTTTTTCGTGTGATACTTACCCAACCACATGGAATTCTTTTCGCTCTCACAATGCTCCAACTCTGGACGTATTTTAATATCATCAGTCGTTGATAGGGGATCTTCTAAAGGAAATGTTTCTAATATTCTTTGTAAGGGATCAAAGATTTGCCAGGCTAATAAAATAATTAAATCTATGGAAAGTAGGCCGGTAACCATGGTATAAAGTTTCCAAGGTTCCACTTTTTTCTAAGAGAAAGGGGAGAGAAATTAAAAAAAAAAAAATTTGTTAGGTTGGTTGGTAATTTGAAGGTTGTGTGAACGTGTTCAGGTGATCCCTAAAAGCTGTGGAGGTAAGTGCTAAGAAAGCTTTAAGTGTTAGCTTTAGTTATTAGTTTGTTGTGAGTTTATATGATTGTTTTTATAACAAGTTATAAAAGTTTTTGTTGTTTTAGAGCTAATTAATATTAATCATACGTCGTGGTGTTTTAGTTATTTAAATTTAATTTTATTAATAAACTTATAAAGCGATTTTATTCATTTTCAGTAATGTGAGAGCTTATTTAAAGGTTTTTAAGATTTCAAAGAAAAATGTCTTTTTTTATTTTTTCAACATTTTTATTGACTTTATTGTAAATGAGAATTTTAAAAATTATGTTTATCATATGCACAAAGACCTAATTAAGGCCTTGCTTAATTAAAGTGTTTAAATAGTGTTAATTTGTTGTTTCTCTGTGTTCTTTTTTTTTCTGGCCATTAATCATTGTATAACACAAGTTTTTCTTTCTTTGGCTGCTGCACCCAACTGTCATAAAATTTTAATGTACAGCGCTTTTTTTTAATCGATTTTGTTTGTTCATTTTAAATTATATGGTTTTTTTTATAAACATTTTTTTATTTATTTTTCTTGTTATCTGTCATGTTAATAATATTTTTCTCTTTTTTTTTTTTGTTCACAACAAGAAAAACAGTTTTTCTGCATTTTTATTACGCACACAAATAGATTCATTTAAGCACAATCATACATATACACACCTACAGCTACAGCTACAGATACTTCAAATGTATCTGTATCTCTTCCATATATCAACTCATCATTATCGTTGTACATTTTGGTTATTATCAGTTCATTTATAAAATGTCACTGTCAACTGTATGAGTTTTTATTGTTCACATTTGTTTTTTTTATTTTGCAAAAAGTGCATGAGAGCGTGTAAATATATTAATTGTATAATTATGTTGTTATTGCATTTTAAATGGTTTTTTTTTTGTTGTTACATAAAACAGCAAAATGTTTCTAGGAAATTATTTAATATCCACATTTTTTATGTAAATTTTTAAGTTTAAAATTAAATTTATTTCATTAATAGTAATAACTATAGTCCCTTAATAAAAGTATTGTCTTAGTTCAAATGGCATTATAACGCTTTATATTTAAGTGCTTTACACTACATATAGTGTATTGCATAAAAGGTGCTTGTGACCCTATTAATAATTAGTTTAGAAAAAAAAAAAAATTTGACACTTACTTGTGGTTTCTTATAATATTTACTCACTTTGGGATCTCTTTTCGCCTTAGTAGTAAATCGATGTACACGCCATACTTTGCTAAACATGGCACCATAAGCTAAAGTAAAACCGGTGGATAAAAGCCAAGCTCTGGCCTGGCAGATCTAAGAGAGCAAATAAATAAAGAATATTTTATAAGTCATGATAATCAGGATTCAATACTGTTCTATAATTTTTATTTTAGACAAAACTAGTTGCTATACTATATATAATCCAATCTATAGTCTGAACTGTAGACTAACCTATAGTTACGACTACAACTTAGACTACAGACTGATCTATAGTTTGGATTATAGACTGACCTATAGTCTGTATTATAGACTGGACTATAGACTGAACTATAGTCTGGACTATAGACTGGAAATCTATCGATTGATCTATAGTATGCAATGAAGAATGATCTATAGTTAAAACTGCAGACTGATCTATAGCCTGGACAATAGACAGATCTATAGTCCGGGCAGTAGTCTAATCTATAATCTATAGTCCAGACTAGGGACTGATCTATAGTCTGGATTATAGACTGATCTACAGTCTGGACTATAGACTGATCTACAGTCTGAACTATAGACTGATCTATAGTCTGGACTATAGACTAATATATAGTCTGGACTATAGACCGATCTATATTCTGCATTATGGAATGGACTATAGAATGATTTATAGTTTGGACTCTAGAATGATGTATAGTCTGATCTATATTCTCGATTATAGACTAATCTATAGTCTGAACTATAAACTGATCTATAGTCTGAACTATAGACTGATCTATAGTCTGGGCTATAGACTGCTCCATAGTCTAGACTATAGACTAATCTATAGTCCGGGCAATAGTCTGATCTAAATTCTCGATTATAGACTAATCTATAGTCTGGACTATAGACTGATTTTTAGTCTGGATTATAGACTGATCTATAGTCTTACTTATAGAATGATCTATAGTCTTGACTGTAGGCTGATCTATAGTCTGGACTATAGACTGATCTGGACCATAGACTGATCTATAGTCTGGACCATAGACTGATCTATAGTCTGGACCATAGGCTGATTTATAGTCTGGACCATAGACTGATTTATAGTCTGGACCATAGACTGATCTATAGTCTGAACCATAGACTGATGTATAGTCTGGACCATCGACTGATCTATAGTCTGGACTATAGACTGATCTATAGTCTGGACTATAGACTGATCTATAGTCTGGACTATAGACTGATCTATAGTCTGGACTATAGACTGATCTATAGTCTGGACTATAGACTGATCTATAGTCTGGACTATAGACTGATCTATAGTCTGGACTATAGACTGATCTATAGTCTGGACTATAGACTGATCTATAGTCTGGACTATAGACTGATCTATAGTCTGGACTATAGACTGATCTATAGTCTGGACTATAGACTGATCTATAGTCTGGACTATAGACTGATCTATAGTCTGATCTATAGTCTACAGTCTTTAAAAAAGAAAATTTTTTTAAAATTTCCTTAAAAGGGCAAATTTTTGAAAACTTTCCCTGAAAAAAGAAAATTTTCGAAAAATTTCCTTAAAAAAGAAAATTTTTGAAAAATTTCTTTAAAAAAGTAAATTTTTGAAAAATTTCCTTAAAAAAGCAAATTTGTGAAAAATTTCCTTAAAAAAGCAAATTTGTGAAAAATTTTCTAATCTATAATCTATAGTCCAGACTAGGGACTGATCTACAGTCTGGACTATAGACTGATCTACAGTCTGAACTATAGACTGATCTATAGTCTGGACTATAGACTAATATATAGTCTGGACTATAGACCGATCTATATTCTGCATTATGGAATGGACTATAGAATGATTTATAGTTTGGACTCTAGAATGATGTATAGTCTGATCTATATTCTCGATTATAGACTAATCTATAGTCTGAACTATAAACTGATCTATAGTCTGAACTATAGACTGATCTATAGTCTGGGCTATAGACTGCTCCATAGTCTAGACTATAGACTAATCTATAGTCCGGGCAATAGTCTGATCTAAATTCTCGATTATAGACTAATCTATAGTCTGGACTATAGACTGATTTTTAGTCTGGATTATAGACTGATCTATAGTCTTACTTATAGAATGATCTATAGTCTTGACTGTAGGCTGATCTATAGTCTGGACTATAGACTGATCTGGACCATAGACTGATCTATAGTCTGGACCATAGACTGATCTATAGTCTGGACCATAGGCTGATTTATAGTCTGGACCATAGACTGATTTATAGTCTGGACCATAGACTGATCTATAGTCTGAACCATAGACTGATGTATAGTCTGGACCATCGACTGATCTATAGTCTGGACTATAGACTGATCTATAGTCTGGACTATAGACTGATCTATAGTCTGGACTATAGACTGATCTATAGTCTGGACTATAGACTGATCTATAGTCTGGACTATAGACTGATCTATAGTCTGGACTATAGACTGATCTATAGTCTGGACTATAGACTGATCTATAGTCTGGACTATAGACTGATCTATAGTCTGGACTATAGACTGATCTATAGTCTGATCTATAGTCTACAGTCTTTAAAAAAGAAAATTTTTTTAAAATTCCTTAAAAGGGCAAATTTTTGAAAACTTTCCCTGAAAAAAGAAAATTTTCGAAAAATTTCCTTAAAAAAGAAAATTTTTGAAAAATTTCTTTAAAAAAGTAAATTTTTGAAAAATTTCCTTAAAAAAGCAAATTTGTGAAAAATTTCCTTAAAAAAGCAAATTTGTGAAAAATTTCCTTAAAAAAGCAAATTTGTGAAAAATTTCCTTAAAAAAGCAAATTTGTGAAAAATTTCCTTAAAAAAGCAAATTTGTGAAAAATTTCCTTAAAAAAGCAAATTTGTGAAAAATTTCCTTAAAAAAGCAAATTTGTGAAAAATTTCCTTAAAAAAGTAAATTTTTGAAAAATTTCCTTAAAAAAGCAAATTTGTGAAAAATTTCCTTAAAAAAGCAAATTTGTGAAAAATTTCCTTAAAAAAGCAAATTTATGAAAAATTTCCTTAAAAAGCAAATTTTTGAAAAATTTCCTTAAAAAAAGTAAATTTTTGCAAAATTTTACTTTAAAAGGCAAATTTTCTTAAAAAGTTAAATTTTTAAATTTGTTTGTTATTTTTTACTTACTTTTGGATATTCTTGTGGATCAACAAAAACGTCCATCCATACCCAATAATATGACGGATGTTAAACAAATAATGACACCAAATAACATAATGGTATTACATACAGGATGCGATGATTGTATAACTCTGTAAATAGAAAGAAAATCAAATTTTTAGCACAATAACCAATGATATTAGCAAAATAAAATAAGTTAAATATTAATCATACGTCTTATTATATTAAACGTTTTAGAAATACATTGAACAAGCTTTTGCTAGCTGGCATGAAATTCCTTGACTATTTATTGCTTTAAACTAAACTTTTAACTTCTTATTCTATGCAAAAAACTGTTTAAAGAAGTATTAAAATAAATGTCCACCTAAACGTATGATTAATATTAATTAGTAGTAGTTAAGGTAATTTGCCTATAACTTGCTTAAAAATTAAAGAATTTTTTAAAACAAAATGGCATTCGAAAGCTTAGATAAGCAGCTATACAACCATATAATTAAAATATAAATTAAAAATTTTAATTGCTTCAAAATGTTTAACAAACTTTTTTTTTTTTATTTTTAAATGTTTGGTCTTCCTTTTGCATTTCTTTGTACTTTGCCAGATTTCCACATTTCGTTGAACAGCAAACAAACTATAATTTGAATTTATAGAGCATATAACGAACCAAATAGCCAAAATTTATCTTTAACCATAAACTAAAGGAAAAATTACACCAAATATTAGACAATATTTAAGAGAGCGCATTTTCCTTGGAAAATTAATCTTGTAAAAGTCTTTGCAGTTTTCCCGCCATACAGCTGGAGTAAATAAAATAATACAGAACAATTTTAAGTCCCAAATATATGACCAACAAAATGGCTAAAAATGTATGATGTTGTTGTTGCATTGTGGCAACAGAAAGGATGTCAAGTCATTTGAATTTTTGTCTTGAAAAGGAAGAGCAACAGCAGATTACTGTTAGCAAAGACATTAAGTGCACAATATTTAGATTTATTTAGCACGAAACAACTCACTATCACTATATATAGAGGGAGTTTGGGAGCTTGTGTTTTTTTGTCGCTGACAAAAAGGTTTAATATCCTGGTGTAAATCTGTCCAGACTTATGTTGGGCCATTTATATTAAGTGGTCTAAACAATATTTTCCACTCATATTTCTCAACATCAACACAAATTATAAGATATTTCGTTTTAGGTTTATTCTTTTTAAAAAGAAGTTATGGCTGCTATTTTTGTTTTTTTTTTTTTTAAGTCCACCGGATGCTGCCGCTGCTGTTGTTACGGGTTTAACTTCCTTTTAACTTAAGGATGTTGTGGGTGCTTTATTTTTCGGTCTAAGATTTTATACAACAAAGTTACTTTTGTAAGTTTTCAAGGAATCTTGGTCTATCCCTTAAACTGTCTGCTGTGCGGTCTAAGTTTAAGTTTTTTTTTTGGGACTTTGTGGTTTTGTCGTTGGTTTTTTTGTTGTTGTTTAACGGAAAAGCACAGTAAAAATAGTTTTAAAGAAACTATAAGGAAGTAAGCAAGTTTTTGTGTTTTTAGCCTATTGTTATAGATTTTTTTTTAGATTTTGTATACTTTTATTCTTTTATGCACTTTATTTCCGTTTAACTTAGTTTTCCTTTTTTGCTCCTTTTTGCTTGTAGTATTATTTTATTTCTCATTATTTTAACACAATTGTTACGGTTGCTGTTTTGTGGCAAAACTTCTTAGAAAACAAAGCTATTGTTGAAGCAAATAGCTTTGGTGAATATTAAGGCAAGTTTAAAATACAATAATTTGTTAATAAATATTTTTAATTAAAATGTAAATATTTATCTAAATTAAGAGAAATATTTTTAATTCTTTAGCTTTTTATAATTATGAGAAAAAATCTTAAAATAATGGTACTTTAATTAATAAATCTTGCTCCTTCAGTTCTAGTTCAGTTCTATTTCAGTTCTAGTTCAGTTCTAGTTCAGTTCTAGTTCAGTTCTAGTTCAGTTCTAGTTCAGTTCTAGTTCAGTTCTAGTTCAGTTCTAGTTCAGTTCTAGTTCAGTTCTAGTTCAGTTCTAGTTCAGTTCTAGTTCAGTTCTAGTTCAGTTCTAGTTCAGTTCTAGTTCAGTTCTAGTTCAGTTCTAGTTCAGTTCTAGTTCAGTTCTAGTTCAGTTCTAGTTCAGTTCTAGTTCAGTTCTAGTTCAGTTCTAGTTCAGTTCTAGTTCAGTGCTAGTTCAGTTCTAGTTCAGTTCTAGTTCAGTTCTAGTTCAGTTCTAGTTCAGTTCTAGTTCAGTTCTAGTTCAGTTCTAGTTCAGTTCTAGTTCAGTTCTAGTTCAGTTCTAGTTCAGTTCTAGTTCAGTTCTAGTTCAGTTCTAGTTCAGTTCTAGTTCAGTTCTAGTTCAGTTCTAGTTCAGTTCTAGTTCAGTTCTAGTTCAGTTCTAGTTCAGTTCTAGTTCAGTTCTAGTTCAGTTCTAGTTCAGTTCTAGTTCAGTTCTAGTTCAGTTCTAGTTCAGTTCTAGTTCAGTTCTAGTTCAGTTCTAGTTCAGTTCTAGTTCAGTTCTAGTTCAGTTCTAGTTCAGTTCTAGTTCAGTTCTAGTTCAGTTTCTAGTTCAGTTCTAGTTCAGTTCTAGTTCAGTTCTAGTTCAGTTCTAGTTCAGTTCTAGTTCAGTTCTAGTTCAGTTCGTTCTATTCAGTTCTAGTTCAGTTCTAGTTCTGTTCTAGTTCTGTCCTAGTTCAGGTTCTAGTTCAGTTCTAGTTCAGTTCTAGTTCAGTTCTAGTTCAGTTCTAGTTCAGTTCTAGTTCAGTTCTAGTTCAGTTCTAGTTCTGTTCTAGTTCTTTTCTAGTTCTGTTCTAGTTCTGTTCTAGTTCTGTTCTAGTTCTGTTCTAGTTCTGTTCTAGTTCTGTTCTAGTTCTGTTCTAGTTCTGTTCTAGTTCTGTTCTAGTTCTGTTCTAGTTCTGTTCTAGTTCTGTTCTAGTTCTGTTTTAGTTCTGTTCTAGTTCTGTTCTAGTTCTGTTCTAGTTCTGTTCTAGTACTGTTCTAGTTCTATTCTAGTTCTGTTCTAGTTCTGTTCGAGTTTAGTTCTAGTTCAATTCTAGTTCTGTTCTAGTTCAGTTCTGGTTCAGAAACATGCATATACCAAATATTTATAATACTAAAATTTCTATAAAATTTTATTTATTAAGTTTTTTCTCTATTAAAAAAATGTATGAATAAACTTAAGGTCATAGCTACTTATTTTTATACATTTTTAATTTAAAACCTTATTTTTTTGCTAACAAATTCTGCACAAAAATAATATTGCAACTATTTTTCCATTTATAAAAACAAAAATTCATTTATGTGCAAAATTGAGAAGATAAAATATTCTATGCTTGATAACATACATAAGTATGTGGTTTTAAGAAGAAAAGAAAAATTTTCATTTTAGTATAATTTTTTATTATTTTTACTTTGAGACTAAAGGAAAATTATTTTATGCATTCAAAGGGAATAAGAACAGTTAAGCAATTTTTAGTATAGTGGTGTAATAAAAAGATTTTAATTTATACTGTAATAATCTAAACTATTGGCCTTTAAATGCATTTAAGTTTATGAAAATTCAATCAAGTTTGTGAAGTTATAGAGTATTAAACAAAACAGCTTATAATTAATATAAATCATACGTCTGGTGGCCAGAATTATAAAATTTTCTTTACTGCTGATTTTAAAGAAAAAATTGATAATTGTTTATATTGTTAAGTTTTAGAAAAGCTCTAAATTTGTTGGATAATAATAACCACTATTGCTTGGATAGCTTTTGTATAGAATTTCTTACTTTTTATGTGTCCTCCAAAGTTTATATAAAAAATTTTTACAACAAAATACTATACTTTATCTATGTGTACTAAAAATTTCTATATTTATGCGTTATTTGTTGCTACATTCTTCTTTTACCTTTTGTTTTACTTTTATTGTACATTTTGTTAGTTTTTTACGTTCATTTTTCTATCCAGCAAAGCGTAAAACCAAACAACTATTCATTCAATGTATGAACGACTGAATGAATGAATGCATTTTGCAGCAACAATAAATACACACTAGACATTTAACAAAATGTAAACCTTTTTTTCTTCTTCTTTAAAGAGGCTGCAGCATTCAGTCACCCAAATACTAATGGTATCTACTTTTGGGGCGGAAATTTCCTTCCTCGGAAGGTTAAAACAATGGTTGTGCTTAACTCTTTCTACTCGGCGAGAAAAAAAATCTATCAGTTTTGTCTGCTTTGTTAATTTAAATGAAAACGTGGTTGGTTTTTGAAGTTCGTTAACCAATTATATTTAGTTTTAAGGAATTTTTCTACCAACCTCGTTTGTTTGTCTACCTTTACTTTCCAACTAAACGTGTATTTGCTTTTACCTTTATACCTGTATAAATCAGCTAGTGAATTTTTTTGTTTTTTGTTTTGTTAAAATGCGTCATTTTCCTGATGCTGCATATTTTGTTTTGTTTTACAATTTATTTTTGTTTTTTTTTTTCCTTTGGAACACACACAAACCCTGAGCTCTAGTTTCTAATGTTTTGGTTGCCGTAAAATAAACATCAGCATCATGACGCCGCACTGTGGTTTAAATTGATAAAAAGCGAGCAGTGTTAAAACATTTGCGATTGACTATAGTTTATAGTCTCGTCTATAATCTAGTCTATAGTTTAGTCTGTAATCTTGCCTGTAGTCTAGTCTATCGTCTAGTCTATACATAAGTAGAACTAGAACTATATAGATCTAAAATAGAACTAGAAACTGAACTAGAACTGAACTAGAACTGAACTAGAACTGAACTAGAACTGAACTAGAACTGAATTAGAACTGAACTAGAACTAGAACTGAACTAGTCATGTCTATAATCAAGGCTATAGACGTTTTTTTTCAGTCGGCTGCTATTGCTTCTTATTTTCCTTACAACATACCAATTTTCTTAGTTTTGTTCCACACGACGTATGATTAATATTCATTTTGACTTATTTTAGTAAATTGTTGATAAACTTCGCTAAAACTTAAATGAATTCAACAAATTAAAATCAATTTAAAAGCTAACATTTTAGGGCTAATTCTTCATAAGAAAGATATCTGTTAAGACATCACAAGAAGTTTGAAATTCATTTGAACCTCAAAGAAGTTCTCATAGAATCAAATAATGTATTACATTTTCTAATAACTTAACCACTGTCCTACTAACCCCTTTCACTACCCACTTCACTGCCTGTAGTCTAGTCATATCGTCTAGTCTATATATAAGAAGAACTAGAACTATATAGATCTAAAATAGAACTAGAACTGAACTAGAACTGAACTAGAACTAGAACTGTACTAGAATGAACTAATGAACTGAACTAGAACTGAACTAACTAACTAGAACTGAACTAGAACTGAACTAGAAACTGAACTAGAACTGAACTAGAACGAACTAGAACTGAACTAAACTGAACTAGAACTGAACTAGAACTGAACAGAACTGAACTAGAACTGAACTAGAACTGAACTAGAACTGAACTAGAACTGAACTAGAACTGAACTAGAACTGAACTAGAACTGACTAGAACTAACTAGAACTGAACTAGAACTGAACTAGAACTGAACTAGAACTGAACTAGAACTGAAATAGAACTAAACTAGAACTGAACTAGAACTGACTAGAACTGAACTACTAGAACTGAACTAGAACTGAACTAGAACTGAACGAACTAGAACTGAACTAGAACTGAACTAGAACTGAACTAGAACTGAACTAGAACTGAACTAGAACTGAACTAGAACTGAACTAGAACTGAACTAGAACTGAACTAGAACTGAACTAGAACTGAACTAGAACTGAACTAGAACTGAACTAGAACTGAACTAGGAACTGAACTAGAACTGAACTAGAACTGAACTAGAACTGAACTAAAACTGAACTAGAACTGAACTAGAACTGAACTAGAACTGACTAAAACTGAACTAGAACTGAACTAGAACTGAACTAGAACTGAACTAGAACTGACTAAACTGAACTAGAACTGAACTAGAACTGAACTAGAACTGAACTAGAACTGAACTGAACTAGAACTGAACTAGAACTCTGAACTAGAACTGAACTAGAACTGAACTAGAACTGAACTAGAAACTGAACTAGAACTGAACTAGAACTGAACTAGAACTGAACTAGAACTGAACTAGAAAACTGAACTAGAATGAACTAGAACTGAACTAGAACTGAACTAGAACTGAAACTAGAACTGAACTAGAACTGAACTAGAACTGAACTAGAACTGAACTAGAACTGAACTAGAACTGAACTGAACTGAACTAGAACTGAACTAGAACTGAACTAGAACTGAACTAGAACTGAACTAGAACTGAACTAGAACTGAACTAGAACTGAACTAGAACTGAACTAGAACTGAACTAGAAACTGAACTAGAACTGAACTAGAACTGAACTAGAATGAACTAGAACTGAACTAGAAACTGAACTAGAACTGAACTAGAACTGAACTAGAACTGAACTAGAACTGAACTAGAACTGAACTAGAACTGAACTAGAACTGAACTAGAACTGAACTAGAACTGAACTAGAACTGAACTAACTGAACTAGAACTGAACTAGAACTGAACTAGAACTGAACTAGAACTGAACTAGAACTGAACTAGAACTGAACTAGAACTGAAACTAGAACTGAACTAGAACTGAACTAGAACTGAACTAGAACTGAACTAGAACTGAACTAGAACTGAACTAGAACTGAACTAGAACTGAAAGAACTGAACTAGAACTGAACTAGAACTGAACTAGAACTGAACTAGAACTGAACTAGAACTGAACTAGAACTGAACTAGAACTGAACTAGAACTGAACTAGAACTGAACTAGAACTGAACTAGAACTGAACTAGAACTGAACTAGAACTGAACTAGAACTGAACTAGAACTGAACTAGACTGAACTAGAACTGAACTAGAACTGAACTAGAACTGAACTAGAACTGAACTAGAACTGAACTGGAACTGAACTAGAACTGAACTAGAACTGAACTAGAACTGAACTAGAACTGAACTAGAACTGAAATAGAACGAACTGAACTAGAACTGAACTAGAACTGAACTAGAACTGAACTAGAACTGAACTAGAACTGAACTAGAACTGAACTAGAACTGAATAGAACTGAACTAGAACTGAACTAGAACTGAACTAGAACTGAACTAGAACTGAACTAGAACTGAACTAGAACTGACTAGAACTGAACTAGAACTGAACTAGAACTGAACTAGAACTGAACTAGAACTGAACTAGAACTGAACTAGAACTGAACTAGAACTGAACTAGAACTGAACTAGAACTGAACTAGAACGAACTAGAACTGAACTAGAACTGAACTAGAACTGAACTAGAACTGAACTAGAACTGACTAGAACTGAACTAGAACTGAACTAGAACTGAACTAGAACTGAACTAGAACTGAACTAGAACTGAACTAGAACTGAACTAGAACTGAACTAGAACTGAACTAGAACTGAACTAGAAACTGAACTAGAGAACTAGAACTGAACTAGAACTGAACTAGAAACTGAACTAGAACTGAACTGAACTGAACGAACTAGAACTGAACTAGAACTGAACTAGAACTGAACTAGAACTGAACTAGAACTGAACTAGAACTGAACTAGAACTGAACTAGAACTGAACTAGAACTGAACTAGAACTGAACTAGAACTGAACTAGAACTGAACTAGAACTGAACTAGAACTGAACTAGAACTGAACTAGAAACTGAACTAGAACTGAACTAAACTGAACTAGAACTGAACTAGAACTGAACTAGAACTGAACTAGAACTGAACTGAACTAGAACTGCTGAACTAGAACTGAACTGAAACTAGAACTGAACTAGAACTGAACTAGAACTGAACTGAACTGAACTAGAATAAACTAGAACAGAACTAGAACTGAACTAGTCTTGTCTATATCAAGGCTATAGACGTTTTTTTTTTCAGTCGGCTGCTATTGCTTCTTTTTTCCTTACAACATATCAATTTTCTTAGTTTTGTTCCACAAGACGTATGATTAATATTCATTTTGACTTATTTTAGTAAATTGTTGATAACTTCGCTAAAACTTAAATGAATTCAACAAAATAAAATCAATTTAAAAGCTAACATTTTAGGGCTTAATTCTTCATAAGAAAGATATCTGTTAAGACATCACAAGAAGTTTGAAATTCATTTGAACCTCAAAGAAGTTCTCATAGAATCAAAATAAATGTGTTACATTTTCTATTAACTTAACCACTGTCCTACTAACCCCTTTCACTACCCACAAGATTTTGTCATAGTAAATATAGTTTATATACATGGAACTTTCCTCAGCTGTGTTCCAAATTCGAGCTGTATTAGCAAATTGCAATAGAGAATAACATATTGTTGCTCCGAAAAAAAAATATGGTATTTTTATCAGGTTTGAGAGTGTTTTTTTTGTGTGTGTGTTGGTGGAGGCGCTGGCATTATTGTTTATCTTAAATAGACCTGTATTTGTTTGCTGTGGATCTCAACGGAAAGTAAGTGTAAATACGTCTGTTTGGATGTGAGTAGATTTTATACATTTTGCACATTAACAAAAACCATAATGTGTTGCAAAGTAAAGCTGTACAGTTAAGGGTTGGAGGAGAGGTAAGTAAGTTGGAGGATGAGGCCACGTGTAAGAGTGAGTGTTGCAATAAAATATGTGGGGTTGTGTTTAAAGTAAAGAAGAAAATCTGAAAAATGTTTGTTTTGCAAACAAAAAAACATTTTTTACTCAAAACTAAAAAAAATACATTTTTTATTATTTTGTGTAAATAAAATAAAACTGCATTTTTACTACGCGGAAAATTCTTTTGTTTTAAAATTTCCTCTTTTCTGCCAAAAAATTCTTGACTTCCTTAGAAAATGTTTATTGTTAGAAAAACTTAAAAGAATAGTTTTACTTTTATAAATATTTTCTTTTTACTTAAACTAAAAAGGATGTAAAAATATCCTTTTTAGTTTAAGAAGATCTTTCTTCTTTCGGTTTTAAATAATTTATAAAATCTACTATAACTTACCTTCTATGCTTATTCCATATATTAAATATAATTAGAGCTAAAGCTACTATTATGCCACAACTAGAAATTGTACACATACAGACAAATAATGGCAGCGATACGGTGCGTAAGACACGTCTTACTATAGTACGATCTTGAGGAACCTGTAATTTATATAATGTTGCAATTTTCTGGTATTACATGTTCAATTTTTCTTGAGAATAACTCTACCCACCTTTCCACCTATCCAGCGTTCCATACTCAACCATGTTAGATTATCCAATTGAGTGTCGTAGTAACCTAATTTTTCATATTTTCCATTTATCATTGTTCAATTTGTGTTAAAGCAATACGATCACCCTGAGAGCTGAATGCCACAACACCCTGAAATTCCATAAAAATACGAATACAAGAAAGTGTTTAGTTTTTTTTAAATAAGAGAGAAAATAATGTAAAATATTTGATTTATTACATAAAAAGGATAACGAAACAAAAAGAAAGGAAAACATGCTGTAATTGGAAGGACAAAATATCAATGACCATAACGAATTAGAAATTGCGCTAGTCTAAAATCTAGTCTATAGTCTACTCTATAGTCTAGTCTACAGTCTAGTCTATAGTCTAGTCTATAGTCTAGTCTATAGTCTAGTCTATAGTCTAGTCTATAGTCTAGTCTATAGTCTAGTCTATAGTCTAGTCTATAGTCTAGTCTATAGTCTAGTCTATAGTCTAGTCTATACTCTAGTCTATACTCAGGCCTATAGTCTAGTCTATAGTCTATATATTCTAGTCTATATTCTAGTCTATAGTCTAGTCTATAGTCTAGTCTATAGTCTAGTCTATAGTCTAGTCTATAGTCTAGTCTATAGTCTAGTCTATAGTCTAGTCTATAGTCTAGTCTATAGTCTAGTCTATAGTCTAGTCTATAGTCTAGTCTATAGTCTAGTCTATAGTCTAGTCTATAGTCTAGTCTATAGTCTAGTCTATAGTCTAGTCTATAGTCTAGTCTATAGTCTAGTCTATAGTCTAGTCTATAGTCTAGTCTATAGTCTAGTCTATAGTCTAGTCTATAGTCTAGTCTATAGTCTAGTCTATAGTCTAGTCTATAGTCTAGTCTATAGTCTAGTCTATAGTCTAGTCTATAGTCTAGTCTATAGTCTAGTCTATAGTCTATTTAGTCTATATAGTCTAGTCTATAGTCTAGTCTATAGTCTAGTCTATAGTCTAGTCTATAGTCTAGTCTATAGTCTAGTCTATAGTCTAGTCTATAGTCTAGTCTATAGTCTAGTCTATAGTCTAGTCTATAGTCTAGTCTATAGTCTAGTCTATAGTCTAGTCTATAGTCTAGTCTATAGTCTAGTCTATAGTCTAGTCTATAGTCTAGTCGTCTATAGTCTAGTCTATAGTCTAGTCTATAGTCTAGTCTATAGTCTAGTCTCTAGTCTATACTCTAGTCTATACTCTAGTCTATACTCAAGTCATAGTCTAGTATATAGTCTAGTCTATACTCTAGTCTATACTCAGGTCTATAGTCTAGTCTATAGTCTAGTCTATAGTCTAGTCTATAGTCTAGTCTATAGTCTAGTCTATAGTCCTATAGTCTAGTCTATAGTCTAGTCTATAGTCTAGTCTATAGTCTAGTCTATAGTCTAGTCTATACTCTAGTCTATACTCTAGTCATACTCTAGTCTATACTCAAGTCTATAGTCTAGTCTATAGTCTAGTCTATAGTAGTCTATAGTCTAGTCTATAGTCTAGTCTATAGTCTAGTCTATAGTCTAGTCTATAGTCTAGTCTATAGTCTAGTCTATAGTCTAGTCTATAGTCTAGTCTATACTCTAGTCTATCTACTCTAGTCTATACTCTAGTCTATACTCAAGTCTATAGTCTAGTCTATAGTCTAGTCTATAGTCTAGTCTATAGTCTAGTCTATAGTCTAGTCTATAGTCTAGTCTATAGTCTAGTCTATACTCTAGTCTATTCTAGTCTATAGTCTAGTCTATAGTCTAGTCTATAGTCTAGTCTATACTCTAGTCTATAGTCTAGTCTATAGTCTAGTCTATAGTCTAGTCTATAGTCTAGTCTATAGTCTAGTCTATAGTCTAGTCTATAGTCTAGTCTATAGTCTAGTCTATAGTCTAGTCTATAGTCTAGTCTATAGTCTAGTCTATAGTCTAGTCTATAGTCTAGTCTATAGTTAGTCTATAGTCTAGTATATAGTCTAGTCTATAGTCTAGTCTATAGTCTAGTCTATAGTCTAGATAGTCTAGTCTATAGTCTAGTCTATAGTCTAGTCTATAGTCTAGTCTATAGTCTAGTCTATAGTCTAGTCTATAGTCTAGTCTATAGTCTAGTCTATAGTCTAGTCTATAGTCTAGTCTATAGTCTAGTCTATAGTCTAGTCTATAGTCTAGTCTATAGTCTAGTCTAGTCTAGTCTATAGTCTAGTCTATAGTCTAGTCTATAGTCTAGTCTATAGTCTAGTCTATAGTCTAGTCATAGTATAGTCTATAGTCTAGTATAGTCTAGTCTATAGTCTAGTCTATAGTCTAGTATATAGTCTAGTCTATAGTCTAGTCTATAGTCTAGTCTATAGTCTAGTATATAGTCTAGTATATAGTCTAGTCTATAGTCTAGTCTATAGTCTCTATAGTCTAGTCTATAGTCTAGTCTATAGTCTAGTCTATAGTCTAGTCTAGTCTATAGTCTAGTCTAGTCTATAGTCTAGTCTAGTATAGTCTAGTCTAGTCTATAGTCTAGTCTATAGTCTAGTCTGTAGTCTAGTCTATAGTCTAGTCTATAGTCTAGTCTATAGTCTAGTCTATAGTCTAGTCTATAGTCTAGTCTATAGTCTAGTCTAGTCTAGTCTATAGTCTAGTCTATAGTCTAGTCTATAGTCTAGTCTATAGTCTAGTCTATAGTCTAGTCTATAGTTTAGTCTATAGTCTAGTCTATAGTCTAGTCTATAGTCTAGTCTATAGTCTAGTCTATAGTCTAGTCTATAGTCTAGTCTATAGTCTAGTCTATAGTCTAGTCTATAGTCTAGTCTATAGTCTAGTCTATAGTCTAGTCTATAGTCTAGTCTATAGTCTAGTCTATAGTCTAGTCTATAGTCTAGTCTATAGTCTAGTCTATAGTCTAGTCTATAGTCTAGTCTATAGTCTAGTCTATAGTCTAGTCTATAGTCTAGTCTATAGTCTAGTCTATAGTCTAGTCTATAGTCTAGTCTATAGTCTAGTCTATAGTCTAGTCTAGTCTAGTATAGTCTAGTCTATAGTCTAGTCTATAGTCTAGTCTATAGTCTAGTCTATAGTCTAGTCTATAGTCTAGTCTATAGTCTAGTCTATAGTCTAGTCTATAGTCTAGTCTATAGTCTAGTCTATAGTCTAGTCTATAGTCTAGTCTATAGTCTAGTCTATAGTCTAGTCTATAGTCTAGTCTATAGTCTAGTCTATAGTCTAGTCTATAGTCTAGTCTATAGTCTAGTCTATAGTCTAGTCTATAGTCTAGTCTATAGTCTAGTCTATAGTCTAGTCTATAGTCTAGTCTAGTGTCTATAGTCTAGTCTATAGTCTAGTCTATAGTCTAGTCTATAGTCTAGTCTATAGTCTAGTCTATAGTCTAGTCTATAGTCTAGTCTATAGTCTAGTCTATAGTCTAGTCTATAGTCTAGTCTATACTCTAGTCTATACTCTAGTCTATACTCAAGTCTATAGTCTAGTCTATAGTCTAGTCTATACTCTAGTCTATACTCAGGTCTATAGTCTAGTCTATAGTCTAGTCTATAGTCTAGTCTATAGTCTAGTCTATAGTCTAGTCTATAGTCCAGTCTATAGTCTAGTCTATAGTCTAGTCTATAGTCTAGTCTATAGTCTAGTCTATAGTCTAGTCTATACTCTAGTCTATCTCTAGTCTATACTCAAGTCTATAGTCTAGTCTATAGTCTAGTCTATAGTCTAGTCTATAGTCTAGTCTATAGTCTAGTCTATAGTCTAGTCTATAGTCTAGTCTATAGTCTAGTCTATATTCTAGTCTATAGTCTAGTCTATAGTCTAGTCTATAGTCTAGTCTATAGTCTAGTCTATAGTCTAGTCTATAGTCTAGTCTATAGTCTAGTCTATAGTCTAGTCTATAGTCTAGTCTATAGTCTAGTCTATAGTCTAGTCTATAGTCTAGTCTATAGTCTAGTCTATAGTCTAGTCTATAGTCTAGTCTATAGTCTAGTCTATACTCTAGTCTATAGTCTAGTCTATAGTCTAGTCTATAGTCTAGTCTATAGTCTAGTCTATACTCTAGTCTATAGTCTAGTCTATAGTCTAGTCTATAGTCTAGTCTATAGTCTAGTCTATAGTCTAGTCTATAGTCTAGTCTATAGTCTAGTCTATAGTCTAGTCTATAGTCTAGTCTATAGTCTAGTCTATAGTCTAGTCTATAGTCTAGTCTATAGTCTAGTCTATAGTCTAGTCTATAGTCTAGTCTATAGTCTAGTCTATAGTCTAGTCTATAGTCTAGTCTATAGTCTAGTCTATAGTCTAGTATATAGTCTAGTCTATAGTCTAGTCTATAGTCTAGTCTATAGTCTAGTCTATAGTCTAGTCTATAGTCTAGTATATAGTCTAGTCTATAGTCTAGTCTATAGTCTAGTCTATAGTCTAGTCTATAGTCTAGTCTATAGTCTAGTCTATAGTCTAGTCTATAGTCTAGTCTAGTCTATAGTCTAGTCTAGTCTATAGTCTAGTCTAGTCTATAGTCTAGTCTATAGTCTAGTCTATAGTCTAGTCTATAGTCTAGTCTATAGTCTAGTCTGTAGTCTAGTCTATAGTCTAGTCTATAGTCTAGTCTATAGTCTAGTCTATAGTCTAGTCTATAGTCTAGTCTATAGTCTAGTCTATAGTCTAGTCTATAGTCTAGTCTATAGTTTAGTCTATAGTCTAGTCTATAGTCTAGTCTATAGTCTAGTCTATAGTCTAGTCTATAGTCTAGTCTATAGTCTAGTCTATAGACTAGTCTAGTCTATAGTCTAGTCTATAGTCTAGTCTATAGTCTAGTCTATAGTCTAGTCTATAGTCTAGTCTATAGTCTAGTCTATAGTATAGTCTAGTCTAGTCTATAGTCTAGTCTATAGTCTAGTCTATAGTCTAGTCTATAGTCTAGTCTATAGTCTAGTCTATAGTCTAGTCTATAGTAGTCTATAGTCTAGTCTATAGTCTAGTCTATAGTCTCTATCTATAGTCTAGTCTATAGTCTAGTCTATAGTCTAGTCTATAGTCTAGTCTATAGTCTAGTCTATAGTCTAGTCTATAGTCTAGTCTATAGTCTAGTCTATAGTCTAGTCTATAGTCTAGTCTATAGTCTAGTCTATAGTCTAGTCTATAGTCTAGTCT